TTTCTTTCTTTCTTTCTTTCTTTCTCTCTCTCTCTCTCTCTCTCTTTCTTTCTTTCCTTCTTTCTCTTTCTTTTCTTTCTTTCTCTTTCTTTTCTTTATTTCTTTCTTATAATGGCTGAAATCGTATTGCTTGGCATAGTAAGTTGCAACTAGAGTAGGCTTATTGAATCAATTGAACTTATGGAGGCTGTAACTCACCAGATCCCTTCTGGTTCAATGGGCCTATTCTAGTTGCATATTATTACACTAAACAACAGGATTTCAGTGACTGTTACCTATATTTATATAGATCAGTGTTTCTCAGCCTTGGGTCCCCAGACATTCTCGGACTGCAACCCCCCAGAAGCTGTTGCCAGCACACCTAGTGGTGACGGTTCCTGGGAGTTGCAGTCCAAGAATGTCTGGGGACCCAAAGTTGGGAAACACTGTGATAGATCGATCGATCGATAGTAGCAACTGACACCCTTTGGCTCATCTAGGCATTTCATCTCCCCCTTTTTTAAAAGTGGTATCAGGTGTCATTTCCTCTCCCTTTAAAGGAATGTTATTCATGCATTGGTTCTAGTGGTCTTTTTCAAAGCAGATTGTGTATTCTGTTCTCTATTTGACTTGTTTTTTCCCCTCCCGGCCACAGTAATTTATGGAGAAAGGAAAAGGAGAAGCCAACAGCAATAGAAAAATATAGAATAATTAGAGGTGGACTTATTTTTGCTAGCTTCGTGATTACAATTTTTGATGCTGAATTTTGCTGGTAACTGGCACTGACTATCTAATTAGTATTGCAAAACAGTTACAGAACTGAATACTCAAAAGAGGAATGTATCAGAACAAATGCTCTACATTGTAATTTTTAGGGCATATTGACAATAAAAATGGAAGTCAGCCCAATGGAAAAGAATGAAAACTGTTTCTTAAAATGATAAGACATATTTCTGAGCAATATGGCACTGTGCAGAGTGATTAATATATTTGCCACCAGATGGCAGGCTGATGTCTGAAAAACACAAGACATTTCTTTATGAATTAGACAGACATCCATTCTCTTGCAGAATGCCAACCCAGTCTATGTAAACTCCTGAATAGTAGTTCTGATACTGGATTCACAAAATAATTCCTTCAAAAATCTTTCATACAAATACTTTTGACTGCAAACTAGAGATGAGAAGAACACTCATCAGTGATTTGTTTTTAATTAAGACAGGCTGACTTCATACAACCAACTTAGTGAAGGATTCCCAAGCTCTGTGAGAAAGATTTCTCAACTGGGCAAACAAGCTCTTTTTAACTTGTGGTTTTGTTCAATTGTCCAAATCCTCCCCTAACCAACTTCCCCTTCATAAAGCTAAACATACAGTGAATGACTAGAAAAGAACAAGTTGATAGCTCACAAAGATGAAAACAACCTATCCACTGCTTCTGTTTTCAATAATTCACGCAATAAGACTTATTCAGACATATTTTTATTGTTTACTTAATTAATTAGTTTATATTCCTTTTCTCTGTCATAATACTCTCTTGACAGTATAATGTGGACACAATGTGGTCCTTTGGCTGTCCCCTAGCTAGACAAAGTGATGTTTGCTGCTTTATTGTATGTACTATGGTAGAAGAGTGGAACATAAGCTAAGTATCTGATGCAATAATGTGTCTGACCAAAAAAAAGCTAAAAAGTTGCAATAAGAAAAGTAACATGGCTTGATAAAAATTAAAAAACTAAATAACTTACAGAGACCTCCCATAGTTGTAGTTTTAGAAAAGGTAGCCATGTTAATATGTCCAAGCATATCAGGCAAAATCCAAATATTAATTGGATTTTGCCTGATACACTTACAGAGACTTGTGATGGTGCCTGCTCTTTCTGGGCTGTACTGGGTTCACACAAATGCAGACTTGTTTTTTTCATTTATTACCCAGTACCAAATGATATGTAACAGTTTGTTACTTACAAAAACATATCTGGATAGGAGGGATTAGTCAGTGTTTGCTTTTTGCAGTATTTCAGCATATTGGGGGAAGTAGATATTTTAGTCCAAAAATTATACTAATTATTACTAATTGCAAAATCAGAACTATTACAGATAAAAGATTATGATCTTTACTTACTGTTTTGCTTGTTTTCATAGCTTGTTTTCATCAAAATACTAACCATGAAGCCAAAAGTGCACCTCAGTCGCATGTCTGACCACAAACCCAGTTTGACAACTGACAGGCAGCTTAGCACTTTATTAATTAGACAGTTCTGCAAACGTTACATGAACTTCAGTAAATTCCAGAGATATACCTTTATAGATACACCCACCCACACCCTCACCTACACATGTAAGTTATATATGTATATATGTAGAGTTCCATATTTAGTTTTAATTCTGTGATATGTGTACATACACACAGAAAGAAGAGGCTATAGTCATTCAAATACTGATAAACAAATACCTAGAGACTGATAAACAAATAGTCAAGGAATACCTTATTACCTTGAACGAGTTCAAATCTCCAGGGCCGAATGAATTGCATCCAAGAGTAGTTTGTCTTGACTTCAATAAAGCTTTTGACAAAGTGCCCCATGATATCCTGATTAGCAATCTAACTAGATGTGGGCTGGATAGAATGACTGTCAGGTAGATACACTGCTGGTTACAGAATTGTACTCAGAGGACAATGATTAATGGCTCTTTCTCAAATTGGGAGGAGGTAACAAGTGGGGTACCATAGGGCTCAGTCCTGGACCCAGTGCTCTTCAACATTTTTAGTAATGACCTGGATTGGGGGTGCAGGGAGTGCTTGTCAAATTTGCAGATGACACAAAATTGGGTGAAATACCTAATACCCTGGAATACAGAAATAAAATTCAAAATGATCTAGATAGACTTGAGCACTGGGCTGGAAACAACAAAATGAAATTCAACAGGGAGAAATGATACACCTACAAAAAAGAACCAAACACACAGTTACAAGATGGGGAATACCTGACTCAGCAATACTATCAGTGAGAAGGATCTTGGAATTTTTATAGATCACAAGCTGAATATGAACTAACAGTGTGATGTGGCTACAAAAAGGCAAATGCTATTTTAGGCTACATTAACAGTACCCTGGCCAGTGAAACCAATGAAGTCTTCCTTGTGCGTGATGGCAGTAGTGGCAGGAGAAGCCAGTGATGTTCTAAGATGATGATTATGACAAAAAAGGAAAATGGTATTTTAGGCTGCATTAACAAAAGTATAGGCTCCAAATCCTGCAAGGTACCAGTTCCCCTCTATTCAGCACTGGTTAGACCTCATCTAGAGTACTGCGGCCATTTCTAGATACCACACTTCAAGAACAGTGCTGACAAATTGGAAGAGGTTCAGAGGAGGGCAACAAGGATGATTAGGGGGCTGGAAATCAAGCCTGATAAGGAAAGACTGAAAGAAGTGGGCATGTATAACCTTGAGAAAAGAAGACAGAGGGGATATATGATAGCATTTTCAAATACTTTAAAGGCCGTCGTACAGAGGAGGGGCAGGACCTGTTTTTGAGCAACCCAGAGTGCAGGACACGCAACAATGTGCTCAAGTTACAGGAAGCCAGATTTTAGTTGAATATCAGGAAAAACGTCCTAACTGTTAGATCAGTATGGCAATGAAACCAATTACCTCAAGAGCTGGTGAGTTTTCCAGCACTTAGAGGCATTGAAGATAAATTTGGACAACCACCTGGCAGATATTCCCTGCATTGAGCCGGGGGGTTGGACCTGATGGTCTTATAGGCCCCTTCTAATTTCATGCTTCCATAAAATGTTGCTGGGATGGATTTCCTGTCATCTCCAAATATTTGATATGCATCCTGTAGCTGATAGGCATGGGAATTAAACAACATCTGGAAAGACATATAAAATGTTTGTTATAATGGAAGCTTATTTTTGTTTTGTCATTAAGTCCTGTCCGACTCTTTGTGACCCCATGGACCAGAGCAAGCCAGGCCCTCCTGTCTTCCACTGCCTCCCGGAGTTGGGTCAAATTCATGTTGGTAGCTTCAATGACACTGTACAGCCATCTTGTCCTCTGTCGTCCCCTTCTCCTCTTGCCTTCACATTTTCCCAACATCACGGGCTTTTCCAGGGAGTCTTCTCTTCTCATGAGATGGCCAAAGTATTGGAGCCTCAGCTTCAGGATCCGTCCTTCCAGTGAGCACTCAGGGTTGATTTCTTTCAAAATGGATAGGCTTGTTCTCTTTGCAATCCAGGAGACTCTCAAGAGTCTCCTCCAGCACCACAGCTTAAAAGCATTAATTCTTTGGTGGTCAGCCTTCTTTATGGTCCGGCTCTCACTTCCATACATCGCTACTGGAAAAACCATAGCTTTTACTATGCAGACCTTTGTCGACAAGGTGATGTCTCTGCTTTTTAAGATGTTGTCTAGGAGGTTATAATGGAAGCTACTAGTAGGCATATATTGCACATACACATTCTATGTTTCTGAAACTGCCTAAGTGAATTTTAATTAAAGTAAGTTGAATGGATTGTCCCTTTGATTCTATTTTATTTAAAAATATTTAAGACAGAATCTAAAATACATGCAACAGTAATTGCACAAGCAATTTCACAATCATTGCACAGAATCCACAGTCGCACAATGGAAAGCCCACCAGAAGATTATTGCTGCATGCAATCTCACCCCCACTGGCAGGATTCTTAACCTTGAAACTGATTGAATGAAGCAAACTCAGCTAAACTGCTGCATAAGCTATAACAGAAATCAATGAAGCAAGGATACATACATTTCATATATTCCTAGAGTATCTTTATTTGTTCTATAATTTAACAATGATACACCTATAAAATAATTACATTATAGTTATAACATTTCTTCCATTTTGTTTTCATTTATAAAACAAAAATTAAATAGTATGAACCATTACAAGGTCAACTCGCCTCTTCGTTATAAACAAAAACAAACTTAAGGAGACACTCCCCTACTGCAGCAAATATAATTGGTTTATCACACATTGGTAAAGGAACCCTATTGATAATAGGATTTTCCCTGCCCAGAATCATACATTACTGTTCACTTAATTGCTGAACAAACTTTTGTTTACATTCTGACTATATGAACCTGTTGTAAGGTTCTCTTAAAAAAATTCTTCTGGGGCATAACCCTGTGCCATGACAAAACAGTCATCTCTTCTCTTCCTTTCATCTGGTCCAAATAGGATAAAAAATAGAGTAAGTAGTGTTAAGGTATGGAAATGGTAGCATCTTAAACAAGTCTCAGTGTTCCCTATCATACTTTCCTGAGTGCAGTACAGCCATTGTGTAATACACCAAGGGGGAAAAACAGAGAGCTAACATACCTGCCCAATGCCTCCTCCCTGTGCCAATCCCCATAAACCGATTGGTGAGCGCTAGCAGAGATCAGTCCCCCAAAGCCTCTTAAAACTGCCAGTCTCACATAATAGAGAACTGTGCCACTGAACCCTTGAGTTGGCACCAAATCTACAGCTCGAAGAAAACAATTTATTTAACTCTTTTGGTGGTCATGTCAAAAGGACATTGGTAATAAAAGATTTCTCAAAATAATCATAATAGATTCTTTCACCTACAGCCACTGCAAATGCTAAGGTCCAAGACATGTAGCAGGCCATTGTCAGTGTTACCAAACTAATTTCAGAGGCATTCAAATGACTACTTACAGAATATGCTGAAATCCAACATGCAACATGGTATGAGTCAGAATGACAAAGTCACTTCACACATTACATTTTTCCCTACATAGATATTACTTTGCACAAAGGAAACAGAGACTGGTTTAAATAGTTTGTGTTTTCAGCTCAATTACAGTATTTTGTTGCTTTTTGCTACTGTGTTTTAATAAGTTAAACACAGTGTTTTCTTCAACAATTGTGTTGCCTGGACATAAGGTTAAAATAAATGCACAAGAGTGACTTGATGGAACGAAGGCTTAATTTACTGTAAAAAAAATTATCTTGAAAACTAATACTAACAAAATTCTTGCCATTTTTAAGGAAGAAACTAGTCCAATAGTTTAAGATGCTTTTTCTTAGCCCTTCAAATACTTAGACATCTCACAAAATATACGTGCTTGTGTCTATATTAAGTTTTAAAAAAACTTTGCTGTAGCTGCATTACAAGTGATACATTGAAGTAGAAATGTGTGCTTGAGGCAATCTAGCTGAAAATTTGTAAAAAGCCATTCTCAATCTCATAACTGGAAAGCTGCAGGTTATCTCCATGGAAGATAAGGCCCAGGTGCCACTTGAACTGTCTTTATCAGTCAGGCCAGACAGAGAGAGCGAGAGAGACCATGGCTGTCCATGACTGAACCTAATTGTATCCATGTCAGCATTACAGTTTATGGAACATGGTATTAGGTTGTCAAAAAATGAAGTGAAATGTTCCAAAACAGACAAGAAAGAAATGATGACGCTTTCACGGGGCCATCCAGATGCAAGGATAGAGTGAAAGCCACAAGGTTTCCCACATAGTGGAAGTGCTGGTTGTGAGACTCAATCTGTTGGAAACCTACATTATTCTTTCTGATGCTTGAGCCTGGCTTTGCCCTTAAGTGACACAGACCAAATGGCCAAACAACTGCTTTGGGCATAGGGACTAACCCTGTGACCAGCCCAAGCCAGCCTTTATATCCAGTAGGCAAATGGCATGCACAGAGCTGCTCCAGAAATGACTCAACCACAAATTATAAACACAATCAAGAAACCAATCAGTCCATCTGTCTATGAAAAAGGAGACATGCCGCAATGGTGCTAGTGGGGTCGGTCATCAGCTCTCACTTCTGCTGTTTGCCTGTACTGCTCAGGTTCACAGACATGCAGCGGCATTGCTTGACTTTCTGGATTTTCTTAAGTCGGAACGGTGGGTCCAGTTCAGGGCATTCTAGCTCCACGGTGAAGGAGGTGACCTTCTGTGGCTTGCAGAAGGCACAGGACTGGAAGGATTCCTCTTCCTTCTTCACGTGGCGTGGGATATAAAAGGAGTTGCACTGGCCATAGCAGAAGCGGTTGATGATGGTACGGCTGATGCAGCCCTCCTCGCTGACAGTCTGTCGCAAGGGTTGTGTTTTGCACCAGTCACTCTTCAGGTACTTCCTCTCTGTGACTACCAGGGCTTCCTGGCTGGAAGCGAGCACCTCTTTGTTCAGATGCTGCCGCCTCTCAGAATTGTTGCTTCTGCTGTCTTTGTAAGGGGAAGGAATGGCTCCTGCGGGACGGTTTTTCCTGCTTTCTGATAGTTGAATCAGAGTGGACATGAGAAACAAGGATAAAGCAAGTTTCCAGATCATCCTGCAATGAGACAGCAAAATCAGAATAGAGGTAAGTCCAAAACAATGGTCAAATCTATCTATCTATCTATCTATCTATCTATCTATCTATCTATCTATCTATCTATCTATCTATCTATCTATCTATCTATCTATCTATCTATCTATCTATCTATCTATCTATCTATCTATCTATCTATCTATCTATCTATCTATCTATCTATCTATCTATCTATCTATCTATCTATCTATCCATCTATCCATCTATCCATCTATCCATCCATCCACCCACCCACCCACCTACTTACTTACTTACTTACTTACTTACTTACTTACTTACTTACTTACTTACTTACTTAGATTTATACCCCGCCCATCTAGACCAAAGGTCTACTCTAGGCGGCAAATGCTTTTTAACTATGACATTATACTATACAGTACATTGGGTGATTTTGCATGTATATTAGTGTTCTAAATTTTTGATTTTGTCACCCTCCTGTATAAGGAGAAGAACTTGCAAGATTCTTCTCCTTGCTGGCAAAAAATAGAAAGAAAAATGTGCAGTTCACACATTTGTGCAAACCGCATACATTGCCCAAAGTTATTATTATTACACTTTTATTTAACAATTTGAAGAACTAGACAGATTGTTTGTGTATTTCTTGACAGTCATTTGGTCCTTCTGCACATGTGCTCTCTCTTTTGCTCTTTCTGTGAGTGAATGATCACACATGCATTTTACTTCTAAAAGTGAAAGGATATGACCGGCATTTTGTGCAAACTACAAGGGCCTAGTGTAGAAAAAAATGGTTCTGTGTCTTCCTTTGCGGTAGAGATGGGGAATGTAATAGAATTTCTTTGCTGAGAATGAGGAGTTCAGGAAGTTCACTTTCCATTCCAATGCACACCAATCCCAAGGAGATTGTGTGCACGCATTAGTGTTTGCATTCATACAAATATATAAACATTGGGTCGCATATATGCAGATGCATTTGGTTGCATTTGGTCTGAAATGTGAATGGTCAGTTACGGCTTTCTTTTATTTTGTAAAGAATGCTGGCCAAATTGTCTCTTCCAATGGAAATGTGACATATTAACACTTGGAGCTTTGTCCATGAAGTGAAAGAGCCCAAACACCACCAATAATATGATGTTTAACCACTCAGTGCTTAATTTACTCGTCCCCAGATGATATAAAACCAAATTTGTCCATAAGAACAACACTCAAAACACTTACAACAGTAATATTAAAAAGCACTTTCTAGCATACAAAAGCTTTTTGTTCAGCCAGCTTCTTAGGAACAGACAAAATTAGAACTAGGTGTTCATTTTACCAAATTAGAACTAGGTGTGCAAGGCCTATTACAGTGATAGTATCCACTCTGAAAGCATTTGGGCAACGTGTGGTAGAGGTGAGATACAACTGAAGAACAAATGCAAAAGCAGACACACAAGATATGGGAACAGAATGATTAGAGGCAGATAACATGAAAGGTTAAAAAAATGGCAGAAGTGAAGAAGAATTAAGAAATAAAAGTTATTAAGGAATGTACCATTCAGATGTTTTGAATTTCAACTGCAGGAATTTTCCATTCTAGGAGTTTCACCTGACAGACCTATAGACAACTAAATATGGCTCACCTGGAGAAAAGGATTAACCAAAAGGCTACATGACCTAGCTTTACCCATGAAGCAAAAAAGCCCAAACAAACCCACAAATAAGATGCTTAATCACTTAGTGCTTAATTTACTGAGTTCCCAACAAGTACCATGGCAGCTTCATTTTTAAAACACAAACTGGGTAGATGTGTCTTGTTTGTTGCTGATAGAGTACATCTATATTCTGTTGGAGAATATAGGAGAGTGTGAGTTAAGAACAGTATGTAAAGTTTTGGAGCTACAGTACTTACCTAAGCAGAAAACCAATGCCAAAGACTTGAGCCATTCAGCTTGACCTTCAGGAAGTACGGGACACTACCTTTCAAACAAACAAACAAAAACAAAAAACCTTTAAATGTGCAAAACACAACTGTCCCCATCAAAAAGGTGTTCACAACTCTGCACATTTCTGCATATGAATGTCCACTAAACTGTATTGAGTGATATGTGTTCATCAATACTTTTCCTAAGGATATTTACTTGCTAAGCATCACAGCTTTCAAATCCCATGGAATCAATGGGATTGTCCTGTAAATAAGTGTGTTCAAGATCTTAGCCAGAATGCAAACCATAATGCTCATTAAGAGACTCCAGCCGGTCTTCAGAGGAGTCATAGTTTTCTACTTGACCAAATAGTGGGTTATCATGGCCAAAACTATTGGATGTCAACTCAATGTTCAGGCCAAATTCCTTTAAAATCAGTTAATTACAGCCCTCTCTAGAGATGCAACAGAATCTAGCATTATTCCTTTCCCTCCTTTGTTGCCAGTTCTAGAAACATACAAACAATGAGTCAGAACTTCATCTGAATCAAAACTCATTTGATTAATCTACAAGCAAAATATTGGAAAATAAAAGTGGCCCATTGGTTTGGATTCAGAACATCCCATTCATTATATATAAAAGTTGGAGAGTAAGCTCAGTCCTGGCTGCTTGGCATTTGAACTTGTTTACTGCTTGGTCTTACGAATCCAAAGCCCAGAATTATGTAAGGTAAAGGTAAAGGTTCCCCTTGACATTTAGTCCAGTTGTGTCTGACTCTAGGCCGCAGTGCTCATCCCCATCTCCAAGCTGTAGAGCCAGCATTTGTCCGTAGACAGTTTCCATGGTCACGTGGCCAGCGCAACTAGACACGGAACACCGTTACCTTCCCACCATGTGGCACCTATTTATCTACTCGCATTTACATGTCACACGAAGAGTCGGACACGACTTAATGACTAAAGAACAACAACAAATTTACATGCTTTTGAACTTCTAGGTTGGCAGGAGCTGAGCACAGGAGCTCATTCCGTCGCATGGATTCAATCTTACGACTGCTGGTCTTCTGACCTTGCAGCACAGAGGCTTCTGCAACCTGTCTGCCCTGACTTCCATCCATCCCAATTTCAGAGTAAAAGAGAGAAAGAGTTATTACACAGACCTATCTTCTAAGGTAATACTCTGTTTCTGAGCCATCCTACATAATTGTGTTATCCATTTATTGCAAGCGATCTGGGGACAGCATAGAAACAGACTGTGAGTATGAAAAGCAAGGAGGGACAAGAGGGCCTTCTTAAATGAACAGTGCAAAGAAATAGAGGAAAATAATAGAAAGGGAAAAACCAGAAATCTGTTCAAGAAACCTGGAAATATTAAAGGAACATTTTGTGCAAAGATGAACATGATAAAGGACAAAAATGGTAGGGACCTAACAGACGCAGAAGACATCAAGAAGAGGTGGCAAGAATACACAGAGGAATTATACCAGAAAGATCTGGCTGTCCCAGACAACCCAGATAATGTGGTTGCTGACCTTGAGCCAAACATCCTGGAGAGTGAAGTCAAGTGGGCCTTAGAAAGCCTGGCTAACAACAAGGCCAGTGGAGGTGATGGCATTCCAGTGGAACTATTTAAAATCTTAAAAGATGATGTTGTTAAGGTGCTACACTCAATACGCCAGCAAATTGGGAAAACTCAGCAGTGGCCAGAGGATTGAAAATGATCATTCTACATCCCAATCCTAAAGAAGGGCAATGCCAAAGGATGCCCCGCTCAAAATCCTACAAGCTAGGCTTCAGCAGTATGTGGACCGAGAACTCCCAGAAGTACAAGCTGGATTTCGAAGGAGCAGAGGAACTCGAGACCAAATTGCTAACATGCACTGGATTATGGAGAAAGCCAGAGAGTTCCAGAAAAACATCTACTTCTGTTTCATTGAATATGTAAAAGCCTTTGACTGTATGGATCACAACAAACTATGGCAAGTTCTTAAAGAAATGGGAGTGTCCGACCACCTTATCTATCTCCTGAGAAATCTATACAAGGGACAGGAAGCAATAGTTAGAACTAGATATGGAACGACGGATTGGATCAAAATTAGGAAAGGACTATGACAGGGCTGTATATGGTCTCCCTTCTTATTTAATTTATATGCTGAATATATCATGCGAAAGGCTGGACTCAAAGAATCCCAAGATGGAATTAAGATTGCTGGAAGAAGTATCAACAACCCCAGATACGCAGATGATACTACTCTAATGGCAGAAAGTGAGGAGGAATTAAAGAATCTCTTAATGAGGGTGAAATAGGAGAGTGCAAAAAATGGTCTGAAGCTCAACATAAAAAAACTAAGATCATGGCTACTGGTCCCATCAACTCCTGGCAAACAGAAGAGGAAGATATGGAGACAGTGACAGATT